GGTGGTGTTGGTGTTGTTGTTGTTGTTGCTGTCTCTGTTGCTGTTGCTGTTACTGTTACTGTTGTTGTTGCTGTTGCTGTTGCTGTTGCTGTTGCTGTTGCTGTTGCTGTTGCTGTTGCTGTTGGTGTTGGTGTTGGTGTTGTTGTTGTTGTTGTTGTTGTTGTTGTTGTTGTTGTTGTTGCTGCTGTCCGGCATTTGCAGGCGTTTCGGGACTCAATATGCAGGCCGCCCCGGCTTAGCAGGCAGAGGTTGATTCCCGTGGAATATGACCGCATGCTCGCTTCTTGCGAGGTGGCGCGCCATTGCGAAGCTTGGACGTGCAGTGAAGCGCGACATCAACTGCTTTCAATGATGTATTCTGCCCCTTAAAGTCTATTGCGTTTGTTGCTGTAGACGAGAAGCATTCAGACCTGAGTTCTGCTCAGTCCTGCGTGGCGATGAGACTTAGCAGCTCGCGACAGCTTTCCGAGGCCTGCGTGTGTTGGAGGGTGGCGTGTGTGTGTGTGTCAGCTCAGATGTCACAGATGTCGTGTTTGAACTTGACTCTCCAGCAGTGGAGGCCTGGATATGCAGACAAGGTTGCATCTGCTTCGAGGAGGCGCAGACATTTCCAGACAGGCATCATATCGCACTTTGGGGTTGGGGCCTAGGTGGCAGGGCCTGCTTCTCAGTAGATGTTTGCATCCTGACAATATCTTGCTGTGATCGTCGTGGAAATACGCAGCAAGCGATAATGAGGTCCCATATCCCGCTTGCTTTCTGCGTCCTTCTGCTACTTGTTGCCGAACTCATGATTCAGTCAGCAGCCACCTCAGCCATTTCAGGACAGCGGATTTCCTCCCTGGGTCTACGGCATGCTGAGGATGATGAACAGCAGCGGCAGAAGTTCACCGAGTTCGAGAAGCAACCATGACATCAACTTTTTGGAAGTCCAGATCGGAGTCGATTTCGGGCCGGCCCAGCAAATGATTGTTGTTGGACTGTTCATTACCGCTATGCAGATACGGCACTAGATACGGCTAGGGCCGTGAAAACGTAAAAGAATCTTCAAATCGTGCAACCACGCCGAATTCGAGGTATGTTGATGGAACGTTGCAGAAGACGTTTCGGAGAGGAAAGTGAGCTGTTCACAACCTATCGCAGTGCAAACATGGCAGCACTGCCGGACAGCCTGAGTCTGCAAGTGGTGGAGGCAGCCTTTGATGTGGCATTCCTTTAATTTGCAAATCTTCATTCTGTACAGCAGTCCGTGCCGAAGGCCGAAGGCCTAAATGGCCTAAGGGGCGGATCATGGCGGCCCGAGTCGGCAGACAGCTTGGGTTTGCCGACGAGAGGCATTCTCGGCTGTGCTGTGTGTGCTGTGCCTGCTGTTCGACACAAGCAGAGTACCAAGCAACACCTGCAAGCAAGCAAAAAGGTCCAAAGCAGCGGCACCGAAAGCCAGAGGCATCGTTGATGCTGACAGGACGAGCTTGTTGCACAAGGCTACATGCTTCGAGCATGCCGGGAGGCACGCCTTTGTGCACACCTGCATGAATGCGATGCTGCTCGGGCATTGCGAGTGACCGATGCTTCTCCAACGGTTGGGTAGTGTGCCGGTGTTCCTATGTATGACTCACTCACAAAGAACGCGCCGAACGGCCGCACACACATACACACACACACACACACACACACACAGGACCCCTCTGGTCACTATCACGACTCCGATTGTTTGGCAGGTGGCGCCAGACTACAAAAACGATACCTCACCATGCGGCTGGTACGCAATCAATGCCACACTGGGGCTACCCGGGTTCATAAGAAAGCACACTTTGGTTTAACCCATGCGAATCGCCGGGTCGCCCATGATTGAAGTGAAGATGTTTGTCTGACAAGTGCTCCGCGAAGTGGGGCGGGTCGGTCGTGTTTGCTGCTGGCAGGGTCGCCAGAACCTGACCCACCAAAAGTCATGCGAACTTCAAATTCATGCCACCGGTATATCGTCCAGCAGCGCCAAGGCCTGTGGCAAAGCCCTACTCCGCCTAGCCAGCAAGCCATCGACACCTACGAGGTTGGCCGACGAATCGTTCAAGTTGCACAGGTTGCGGCAGGTTGCGCTTAGACATCTTCATGCACATCAAACACTGCGTCATGCATGAGCAGCTGCGGCCCTTTGTGTTCATGTTCCGCCAGGTTTGGAAAGAAGGCTTTTTCTACGTGCCTCGTACTTCCAAGCATACGGTCTTCTCATTCCATGCCTGTCTGTTGTTCTGCATGTGACGGCAAGCAGGAAGCTCAGCCGGGTCTGTGTGGTGACCTGACATGTCAGGCACAGTTTGATGGCTCAAGGTTTTTTGGGCTTGAAGGCCCCTCGTCAACGTCAGTCTGCAAACGAAAGCCCGCGAGAGTAACATGACTCCTTGATGATTCCGGTTTGCTGTTTGGGCTGCTCGTTAAAATTGTGCAATGAAGACCACTGCTGCGCCACACACACCCGCATACGCCAGCTTCCACCCGTCCACCAGCCTCGACCACCGTCCACCGCCTTGCACCGTCCAACTGCGACTGTTACTATGAATGCCTTCGCAAGGGTCTGCAGCCTCGCAGACAGTGATGCCTCTGCCAGCCCCGCCCGGGCACGAAGCATCTTAAGGCATGCGAGCAGAGCGTGGCTCGACACAGCGATGCCTTAGCCGACGAACTGGTGCCTGCCTTGTTGGGCTCCGGACGGGTTTCAGCAGTTTCTGAGCGCGAGCCTCATGCCATAAGCAACGTGCAATTCCTCTCATGACGTGTATACCAGAGCTTTCTCCTCCCGGGCTCCCAGGCCGGCAGGCTACGAAGCCTCAGCCGCGAGGAGAGAGCGAGTGCCAGTACTGGCGTAGCGCGTTGCTGTCATGGCAAAAATCGCTTCGAAGAATGTGGCCGTGGAAAGGTCTGGGTTCTGTAGGTGTTTTGAGGAAATCTCCAGTCTCCTGAGATTTAGACCTTTGCAAAGAACCATTTGGCTTTTTGAGGAGCAGAACCTGACGCTTATCGCGGACGAGGTTCCTGGTTGTGGGTTGCTAAATCTTGTTTTCGATTGACCCCGGGTGGCTCATTGACCCAGGCCCATGCAAGTCCCCATAAGCCCCTGGCCTATCAGGTCTGCAAGACGACGGCCGCATGCGGACAAAAGAACAAGGCAGAAGCGACATGGCTGCATTGCTACTTCATTGCTGAAGTTTAATCCGGTGCATGCCGCAGCCGAGCATCCTCCACCAGTGACTGCATAAGCCTGCCACACCTCTTCGCAATACCCTCACAAGTCCACTATAACACGGTCGTCCCAGGTGTTGCCCGCAAAGGAAGGAGGCAACTGCCGTGGTGCTGTCATAACAAAGGGTTGAAGCTCTGCAGGCGCAGCCGCGCACTTGCCACAGGAATTGCAGCTGCCCCAAAGAAGCCGGGCAAGGAAAAAGCTGGCAAGGGAAAGGCTGGTGTGAGGGGGTGGGCTAATCCTGAGTCAACAACTGTTTGCGATGTTGCACCTGGCCAGACTAGATGAACAAAGTTGAGGCCCACTGAACATTGTGGAATAGTCAGACGGCCAGTGCGTACTCGGATGTGAAGCCCTCCTGCCCATGATCCATGTGCAAACTATAGGTGCAAACTATAGTAGCAAGCATGTTGCGCACTGGAGTCGCGCTCGGCATTCCCTGAGGGTTGGTACCATGCCTCGCAGCAGGCTGCGAAGAAGGAGCTGTGAGTCGCCCTGCGCTCTCGGGCGTAGTCGAAGTCAGGAGGGCTGCAAAGATCGACCCGCAAACCTGACCGTTTCGCATCGGCCAACAAGGCTGCCTTGAGCTTGGCGCACCGACACTAGGTTGACAACCTAGATCCGTGGTATTTGCATACTCAGCAGCTGGCCTTGTGCACAGTCATCCTTCTCCCCGGAGCCTCTAACTTCTACAGGTCCGCTTCTCGTTACCAGTCCGGAAACTCGGCCCAAAGCGGACGCAAACATGACATGGAGATCTGCCACAGTTGACCCTGACTTTGCGACCAAGGGTAATTGCGACAATTGCTTGGATGGCAGGTGAGACAAGACAAGCTCAGACAGCTCTCCCAAGGGAGACATGCGGAGGTTAACCATTATCGCCTAAAGACGTTTCGACGGTGCTTTGCTGCCTGCAGCTCTTCCAACATGGCGTCCAGCACTGAGGGTCTTGTTGAAGCTTTGCATGTAGCATCCGGACGTCTTGAGTTCTGTCCTGCCATGTGCTGGCTGGTTCTCAGATCTGTCTAACATTTTGCAGCAGTAAACGACGGAATCTTAAAAGCACTCCCCCCCCCCTTTCGGCAGGAACTGTTGGGGCCTTGGCAAAAACCTTGCGGAGGCCCGCTGTCGATGGCGTGAACGGGACAGGCCCGCCGGGAATCTCAGCAAGCCGGGCCTGGTTTGCAGGGAGGATGCGCCACTAGTGCTGCATAACTGCACTGGCTCGAAAGGAACATGTGCTGACACGCGACTCCGAGGCCAATCTACTTGGACTACAATGGTCCGCCACCAATTCGTTGGTTTCGGCTCGTATCCAACCGCGGCATCGGTTAAGTTGTGGATCTTGAATATCTTGATCAAGATTCTGGTGTCGGCTTCCGTTCCAGGCTTGTTTATTCAATGATGGTTGTTGTCCCTGATCAAGGTACAACGCCAATAGACAAGGAGGTATGTGCTGCGATGACCACGATGATGTCAGGGGCCCGTACTAGCCCTGAGTTTGGAATCTTGGTGCGCACCACGTGTTCTCGAAGCTGTTCAGCGGCAATTCAATATCAGGAGCACGCACTGGGGAAACCCGTCGTCCTCCCACTTCTACGGCATTCAGGCCACATTCTCAGGCATTGGGAAGAGACTTGCATGGCGTAGCTGGGGTGGGTCCATTCGCAACTACAAGTCACGCAAGTGTGTGTTGGAGATCTGGTGGGAACGCGGCGGGACAGGAGTTTGACGACGTATGCGCAGCGTTCCCTAACGAATTGAGCTGGGAGTGAACTTGCACCGAGCCGCAGCATGGCAATCCTCACTGAGAGTAGATAGACTCCGCTATATGCTCTTCAGAAGATGACCCGTTAAGCAGGCACAGGCACTGAGCGCAGGAAGAGGAGACGAAGCTGCAAAGAGCTCGACTGAGGCTGCGGATACCCATGATGGAACGCGTCCCGTCGCTCAATCCAACGACCGACTAGCCCAGACCTGGGTGGTAATATTAGAGTCGGTCTTGCTCCAGACCCCCTCAATCAGAAAACAAGAGCCGGATGAAAAGCTTCCAGGGCTGAATGGCCGAAGCTGTGGGAGCACATGAATCTGTCTTTGTTTCAGACCGAGGGCTCGACAACCTGTTTCCTTGATCGGCGCAACGGTTGCGTGTTGACCGTGACCGCCCTTTGGTCGCCTGCACAAGTGTGTCGCGGACTTGCGCGGCAGTCTCCCGAGCATGCTGGGCGAACATGCCTGCCGAGAAGGCCTCGAGGAGACCAGGAGATCACTCCCAGAGTCAAAGATCCAGTGAGGACATGTCTGCTGGAAAGCATCCATCTCCTAGAGCCCAGAGCCTGGTATTCTGGTACCGTCCCAGCTTTTGGCTGTGCCCTTCTTGCCGGCATGAGTACAGATGCTGTGTCTGAGCGGCGGCCCGTATTTGGAGGGACATGGTGGGCGATGCAGCAGTACGAAGCATATGTTGTGCGAACATGTGCGAACCTTTCAGGCCCAGGCCGAACACGGCACCCACATGATATATCGAGTTTGCATGGTGCACCCAGCACACCTTGCCGACCTTGCCCAGGCCAAGAAGGCGTTGGAAGCTGCAAGGAGGCCGAAAATTGCTTGTGGGACCCACATGCCCAGCAGTACATCTTGAGAATTATAAGGCCATTAACGCAACTAAGCGTGGCAGTACGTACTCAGTGCTCAGATCTCGAGCTCCCCTGACAGCCCTGTGCCAATGAGCCGCGCATCCACTCGGCAGGCAGTGTGCAGAGCTCATCGGGGCCGAGCCAGGATGTCCGCTTCCACATGTCACAAAGTCGAAGATCTGAGCTTGGCTAGCCACAAAAAAGCTTCAAACAAGACGAGGCTGCTTGGCCACGATCTGTTCGGTGCTTTCCTGCGTGTGACCAGCTTGGGCTCAAGAGCCCCTGCCCGATAGCACTGGAGTGTGCTTGGGCCAATGAAGTCTCCAGCGCCATGCTGGCTGCCAGGGTCCCGGGACATCGTTTTTAACAGTCAGCCCTTGTTCTGTAGCTTGTGTGTGTGCCCCATCCTTGTGCTCGGCACTGTGTAGTAGAAGACGGTTCGCCTTGAAACGCCTTGTTGACTTCGAGGTTGGTGATGGCCGTCATCTTTTGGGAGGTTGGACATGGGTGCCGGCAAGAGCAAAAACCATTGAGGCTGCTGGGATTTCGCATTCGAGCAGGCAGTGGCTCTGGCACCAGCTCGGACGGCGGCTGACACGAAGCGTGTGACCGACAGCATCAATCACGACGAAGTAATTGCAAGCAGCGAAGAGGACGACGAAGGCAGACCAGAGATCTGAGACCTGAGATTTTTAAGGTTAGTGTTCGAGAGACATTCGCTCCTTGGCCACTGCTGTCCTTTCGATTGCCCCGATCAGGAGATGAGGATGACGATGAGGAGGAGGACGATGACGATGCCGCAAAAAACTCCTCGGTCCCGCTTCTCGGACAAAGCTACTGAGACCTACTTACTCGAGGCATCGCGAAACGAGTTTGCTGTTTGATCTAGCTCCGCAGAACGTACGATAGCATCCTGCATGCACGCCCGAGGTTGGCTTTGACTCAATCTTCTTCAAAACCGCTCAGCGGCTTTTCTGGAAGAAGGGTTTGCCTGAAGGTGCTCAAAGGACTAACGGTAACGTTGACCCGGTGCCTGTTTTAAATCACTTGTTGGAGTTTGAGGGAGCAGGGTCAGGTACGATTCCGTGCCAGTAACTGGAACCAAGTATGAGCCAGTGCTAACTTTCGTGATCTGTCTGTCACGTTTCTATCATACTTTGTCAACGCTGCTGACGAGCGCATTCAAGTTTTTGTGCTTCTGGCTGAGGTCCTACGTCGCCTCAATCGATGCATGCCCTGCCGGCCAACTTCGATGCGACTGGTTCAGGTTTGAGTTCGGAAATGTTCGGAACCTTTGGGACTGAGCTTCGCCATCCGAGCACATTGTTGTCGCGCACCGTCAGCCTCAAAACATCTTTCAGGCGATATCCTTCCTGGCGGAGACCGAGACGGCCGAGGTCATTGCTCGCACCCAGATGTTTCGACACGGTCGTGTCTTAAGTCTTAAGCCGACAGGGGTCGTTTACAGAAATGTTGCAGATCGATTCTGCTTGGCGCAGCTGTGTGGTGCTGATCTGCTCAATGCGTTTGGAGTACGATGCGCTACCAGTTTCTACTGGTGTATGTGCCGTAAGAACCGCTCCCGGCTCTGCTCCCGCTACTGTCGTGCACTGAAACAGGAGGCAGCTTCAACAGCTGAGTCGGAAGCTATGGTGGCAGAGGCCATGTCTCAACAGCTGTGACTTGGGTTTCGGAGATTTAGGATGGGGAGACTCTGCAGGTGTAAATTTCAGAACACGCTCTTGTGCCTAGTTGGCTTGCGGTCCAGTTCCAAAGGCCACAGGCCACTCAACGGCCATTCTGACATCTTCAGACTCCTGGGAGGCTGCGGCTGCACGCTCCGCAGCGCGACTCCACCGTGCACAGCTGCGCCGAGCGGCTGGTGGAAGCGAGGAGGCCGGCATAGAACTGTAACTCTACTCCTAACAGGCAGGTTGCAAGATTTGACATCGGATTCATGGTGTTGCAGTTACTTCTTTGTTCTTGCCTTTGTTGCAGGATCGCCAGATTGCGGAGACTTCGCTCCATGCAGCTCAGACAGCGTGGCAACAGCGAGCACCGCGAGCGCGCCAGTTGACGGTTGGGGCCGCCTGGCACAAAGCTGAGCGCGGAGAAGCACTGCAATCGAGAGCCCCAAAATCCCCACGTAACCCAGACGCTCTTATCGATATTCTAGATCTTTTTATAACTCTGACGATGCAGAAGCAAACGTAGCATAGGGGCTTTGCTGTCATTAATGCCTAAAAGCTGAATGGGATACGTTTGCCACTTCTACCGTCAAAGCTCGTTCCACTGTGTTGCTGCGTGTGTCGGAGGGAGTCTGCAATCGTACTCTTGCTTCCATGTCTGCATGGCAACGGAAGCTGTGCGAGGCCCGCGAAGCCCGCAATGCAGCACGCCAGCGTGCTGCGGAGGCGAGGAGTGCCGGTTTCTCTCCAAGTTACAAACAGTCGTTTTTGTCCGATCAGATGTAGACTAGAGCCGAACTGGAAGGGTGAAGGATGCGACGTGGATCCGACAAATGTCTGAAAGACGGCTACTGCTTCCGGGGACTGGTGTGGCCTTCGCTGCAGGTCAGCCCGAACTTGGGGGCTTCGTCATTGCTTCGCCCCTCTGCTGCTAAGAGTCAGGAGTAGTTGATCGCCAGCTGCTGGATGTTGGGGTATTATAGGGACTCTAGGGACTTCAACCCTCGTGGCGTGCAGCATGTCCTGAGAAATCTCACAACACATCTGGAACAACGTGCTTCGCATGTTTGATGGCTTGGCATACTTTTCAGCGATGTCGAGTTGGTCTTGACCGGCCGAGGGCTTTTCAGCTTGCCGAGGTACTTTCGGCCCGGAGAACTGCGTTTCGACATGGCGCGATGCGACACTTGATCAGCACGAGAGTTCAGTCAACTAGTTCGCCAGCACTGCATTTTCTGTGACTTGCCATCTGCGCATCGAAGCGGAATTCATTGGCTTTTCCGTGTTCTTTTTGTTCCGAAGGAGCTCTGGGACTTGCTTCCTGAAGACGGACTGCCGGATTCCTGGAGTCTTCATTCTTCGCCAGATTTAGGACCTCTAACTTCTCAAATCTCGACACCTATCGAGGGGCCTACCCAAGAGTGTTGTCGGTTATCAGGATCGGGATTGGGAAGAACTGCCCTGTTGTCAAGACGGAAGACAGCGTGAAGCTTCCTGCGTGTTGATGCGGGTGCTCTGCATTTCTTCGGCTCTAAGGCGAAGCTGTGCAGACATTCAACTTGTTTGACATGGGCTTTGTCTGCGAGAATGACGACAAGGCAGGAACATGTCGCACATTCCATCGTTCTTGGTTCAGCTTAAAGCATTTTGGCTTGTCTTCCCTTTGAAAAGTGTGCTTTCCTGCCTTCCGGTATCCTGCCTTTCGCTTTCCCGAATGCTTCGTACTTGCCTCATCCTTGTGAGGAGCCAGTCGAGCACCGCTTTGGCACCAACTCTTATGCTAGAGTCGAGGTGCAGGCTGGTTGACCCTTGTGTGCGCGAGCCAGTGCAAATACATTTCTATTTATGAAGTAAGCATATGGCACATAGGCGAAGAAGTATATGGGGGCTGTCCTAAAACCG